AAAAAAAAGCTAACCTTTTTTCTAGTCTGTTTGGGTTTCCTTCGTTTCTCTTCCAACCCTTTAGCTTCCTTCATGTTTTCATCTTCAGAGCTGCTACAGATCTTCCGAGTCGCCTGTCTGGTTTGTCTCTTTGGAGGCTGGAGATTAATTCCAGCATCTGCTGTCCAGTCAGAATATTCGCTTGAAGAATCACTGTAAAGATTACAAAGTACAAAGCTAAGTAACAAGGTATCAAGAAAACCATAACTCTGACTTTCACACAATACAGTCCTAAGCCTCATCCTACAAGCTGCTCCATGCGGGTGGGTTCCTGTGGCTGAGAGGACAGCTGGCAGGATTAGAACTATATTCACATGAAGTCTATAGAAAGCCTAAATCGTGCATAATTTAGACATTTCAGCACACTATTTCAGTTGCAAATTCATATACAGGCCAGCATAATATTTAATATTTGCATCATAGTAATGATTCCACTCATTCACAAAAGGCTGTAGGGACTTATTTTATTGCCCTCGTGGTTTCACATCAATTCTTAATGGATTTATTACTGGAATTTGCCAAAGTTTTAGGCTATAGTAGTGGAGTCTTTAAATGTATACTGCTGACTTCCATAACATCACAGTAACCGACATACACTTTCTGATTTAATATTAGCTCTCGTCCCTCCAAACACAGAAGCACTGTATTTTTAAAAAAATTCTAAAAATTATGCACGAAGGTATTTTGATAAAATTCATTAGAGAGCAGAACAGATTTGGCCACTTTAGCATAATGCAGTCATCCCATGTCAATACTATTACTTCACTAGTCAAATAATCAACTAACATTTGTGTTTTCGGTAGCTGACTCACACATATAAAACACTTCATTTTGCAGATCTACTTCATACTAGCTCCTAATCTTGCACAGAGAATACAAAAAACTGTATAGCGGATAAGAAAAAAAAAGAAGAAAGTCTTCGGTCTAAAAAACATTTGAAAGTTAGGTATATATATGGAAGGGACCTTGAAAGGTCATCGAATCCAGCCCCCTGCCTTCACTAGCAGGACCAAGTACTGATTTTTGCCCCCGATCCCTAAGTGGCCCCCTCAAGGATTAAACTCACAACCCTCGGTTTAGCAGGCCAATGCTCAAACCCCTGAGCTATCCCTCCTCCCACCTAAGTACAGGTCTTTCACACTGCCTTAACAAAAGGTAAGTGCTTTTGTAAAAACCTTGGTCAGTTTCACTATGATACTTCCTAGTTAAAGAGAGACAAACATTCTGTCCAAGGTGATGGAGCATGTGAACGTCAATGGTGAGCAGTGCAGAGCACAAAAATCTACTAAACAAGGTGTGATTCTCCTCCTTACCTTAATCTCTCACAGGAGTAACAGATTTACTTATTTTATAGTGAAATAACTCCTAGATACTCTTTTCCATATTGTAGTCATGGCTCCAGAAATACCAGCCGTCACGGTATGGCTTTCTAAGACTACATAATCACAAGGCAAAGAAGAAATATTTAGGAGGACAGGAAAAGCTACCTGGAACTGCTTTCACTTTGCCACACAGCTACAGCATCGTCCACAGAGGCATCACTTGTGCCAACTGTTTCATCTTCCTGCATTAAAAACAAAAGAGTCATGTTGTTATTCCTGCTGCCACATTTTCACTAAAATATTTTCTCTTTCACATTATATATGCAGTAGTACACCAGAGTTATGAACTGACCAGTCGACCACACACCTCATTTGGAACAGGAAATATGCAATCAGGCAGCAGCAGAGACAAAGAAAATAAAAACACCACAAATACAGTACACCTCTACCCCGATATAACACTGTCCTTGGGAGCCAAAAAAAAATCTTACTGCGTTATAGGTGAAACCGCGTTATAGGTGAACTTGCTTTGATCCGCCGGAGTGCGCAGCCCCGCCCTCCTTCCACCACCACCCCCGAGCGCTGCTTTACCGCGTTATATCTGAATTTGTGTTATATCGGGGTAGAGGTATACAGTACTATGTTAAACACAAACTACTAAAAGAGGGAAAGTATAAAAAAAGATTTGAGAGTAAGGAAACTGTTTCTGTGCTTGTTTAATTTAAATTAAAATGGTTAAAAGCAGCATTCTTCTGCATAATAAAGTTTCAGAGCTGTATTAAGTCAATGTTCAACTGTAAACTTTTGAGAGAACAACCATAACATTTTGTTCAGAGTTGCAAACGTTTCAGGTTATGAATAATCTCCACTCCCAAGGTGTTAATATCTCTGAGGTTCTACTGTATTCGCCTGAAAATGTCATGATGCAAACACTTGGATGTCATTTGTCAAAGGAAAGTTATTTACCAGTAACTCAAGTTCTCAAAAAAAGGTCTCTCCAGAGTGATGTAGGAGGAGTTACACGACATGACTCCCTTCACAAACCACTGCACCTTTGATAGTAGCATGAACTACTAAAGGCGTGGGACAGCACCCACTCTGGCAGCATTCTAGAACCAATATATATAATTCCACACCCCTATAAAAACTGTCCTTTAGGTTCTTTCAGCCTCAGAAAACCGGACCCAAAATCCACAGGAAAGGGAAAGGCTGGATGTGGTCATCGCAGATCTACAGACCCAAAATATATTCAGAGAATTCCAGTTACTAGTACGTGACCATCGTTTCTCTCTCACAAGTTGCCTCTGCAGAACAGGTAGAAGAAGAATAGCCTGATTTTTTGATGGGTGATGCACATAGCCCTTTAATGGTTCTTGCTGCTACTGAAGGTTTGTGGTCTGCAAGGCAAAGACTCCTACAGTGGAAAGTTGCAAAAGCAGATGCATGAGGAAGAACTTCATATCATCAGATGTAAAAACAATAAAAAAAAATTATACTTAAAATGGTTTCTTTCTTAAAAATGTAAAAGGTATTAATTTCTAATATCTGAAACATATATCCATTAATATACAAGTATGGCCATTAATCAATCTAATACTAAGCTTTTTCTTCTGGTCAGAATTCTGATAACTACGGTGAGCATTTAATTCACATGTATTTTAGTTTTAAGTTACAGAGCAGGAGAAGGCAGTGAATACATAGAATACGTATAGTATATCTTCTTATTTTACATGCTCCCCTTTCCTTGCTGAGGAAATTCCATTTAATCTGTGAAATGTTCAATCCTTACTCTCGCCAATATCAACCACTAACACCAACACAGTATCTTTAAAAGTTGCTACACAGAAACCACGAAACCAACCTACTTAGTGGCATCTACAATACATGTGCAATATGAAGTCTCTTATTTGCATGAAACACCAGAATAGCAAATGTCCTAAATTAACCTGTCAAGTATCAGAGGGGTAGCCGTGTTAGTCTGAATCTGTAAAAAAGAACAGAAGGTCCTGTGGCACCTTTGAGACTAACAGAAGTATTGGGAGCACTTGCATCTGAAGAAGTGAGGTTCTTACCCACGAAAGCTTATGCTCCC